TCCCGCGGGCTTCCTGCTCGCCGGGCGCTCCGTCCCTCAGCGGCGCCGGAGGTCGGCTGCTCGGCTGGGCCGCGCCGGTCCGGGCGAAGGGCAGCCCCGGCGGTGCCTTGGCTGGCCCGGGAGCCGGGGAAGTCGCAGCGCCGCGGCCGGCCGTGGGGGCGCTGAGAGCCTCTGGACGGCTCCGCTCTCGCGTGGCTGTTCACGGGATGTTTGTAAAACGTTTTTTTTTAATCCAGCAAATAAACAGATCACACCTCTCACAATGGCACAGTTCAAGCGCCAGAAGCCGCTGCGAACCAGCAGTCTTCAGGGAGCCAGGTCGTTTTCAGGTTGGTCTGGCTCAGAGCTGAACGACGTTCCCTTCCCGTCGTGCCGCGAACTTCGGGAGAGGATGTTTCACCGTTTCCTAGTCCCTGATCAACATTATTCTTTTTCTTGCATATCTAGTCTTTTATGCTTTACTGTTTTTTAAGCTGCCCGGTAGGTCTGGGCAAGCTGCTGCACGGCGTTGTTTTTAAAGAACGCGTGGTCCTTTTTCTTTCCTTTCCTTTAGTTTGCAACCAGTAAAGCAGGGCGAGCAACCTTCTGATGTCCTTTTAGCGGAGGACAGAATTATGCAAAGTGGGTGGAACAGAATGTCTGCTCTCCTTATTTGGGGTTTGGCTTGGAGTTTTAGAAGCTTGCTTCGTTTTAAGCCCGTGTTCATGGTTGTGATTTTTTTCTGGGTTCCTCATGTTGAAGTAATAAAGAAACAACTCCAGCAATTTTTGTGAACTGTGATTAAGAGGTGACTTGGGGCTAAAAGAAGTGGGCATTCAAGATGCTCATGTTTAAAGCCCTTTTCGCTGTTGCCCTTCAGGTGTGGATTTCAACGCTTATGATTCCCAAGTGAGACATTATATATATTGCGAAGAGTGGTCTAAAGCATGTGTGCTAGACTGAACTATAAGTTTGGACTCATTTCATGTGGCTGCAGATACCAGTGTAGGGTCAGTGATTACTATGTAGGGCAGGGTTTCTCAACCTTGGCAGCTTTCAGATGGTTGGACTTCAACTCCCAGAATTCCCAAGGCTGGCCAGGGAATTCTGGGAGTTGAAGTCCAACCATCTGAAAGCTGCCAAGGTTGAGAAACACTGATGTAGGGTATGGATCTGCGGTCAGATCTATGATGGGATATTTGAAAGTAATGTAGCTTGGCCCATGTATCCAGGCTTCTATTACCTCAGTGGGAAGCAATATAGTAAGGATCATGTGGTTGTATCAAAGAATGTGGCTAGAATGGTTACTATTTATGTGGTACTATTTATGTGGTTAATAACATGTATCCATTGCCTGCTAATACTTTATTTCAACTGAGTTTCATAGGGATTCAAATGATGTGTGGTCCTTTTCCCTAGGAACACAGCCAGCCTCTTTACTGGGACCTGCACCGGGTCTATTAAATCCTCCTATTTCAGCAGATATCATTCAGGCAGCACGTCATCTTCAGGTGGGAGATTATTGGCTTTCTCTTGGGTATCTCCACTGCCAGGTGGTGATGTTCTGATATTCTTTCCTTCTCTTGATACGGCGCGATTTTGGGATTTTACCTCAACTAAAGGAGTTTATGAATTCATTCAAGTTACAAGGTGATTCTGGTCACCTCTGATATTGTGCCAAGAACTATATTTTGGAATCAGGACAGCAATCCCCGTTTGCTCTTAGATTGAATCTCAGCCAGAGGTCAGGTAAAGACCCGCTGGAAATCTCCATAGCTCTCTTGATATTTCAGGCATGTGGCTTTAACTCCTCCTGG